AAAGCATAATTCTTTGTTTTTTGTAAAATGAATATTGAGAGTAAGGGACTAACCAATTAATGATATAAACGATTAGGTAGATCTCATTTAAAGAAAGGAATAGGGCATGAAGATCACTTTTGAAATTTAGCTAAAATAAACTATAAAAAGATCAAATTCTAGGTATACTAATTATAGTATAATAAATTATACAATTTCATCTACTACAAAAGAAATTGCCGAATTCTGGCAAATGCTTCCAGTACTTCTCGTCTCCCTTTTGGTTTTGCAATGTCCAGACCAGTCTCTGGAATCTCCCCTTCTGGCCATCTTTTAATAACAACAGATTCGTTCTGTGGTAAGCTGAAATCAAGTTCATTCCAATATTCTGCAGGGATTACAGTTTTGTAAAATGTAAAGTACGAGGAGATGGCGCGAATACCAAATATAGTTTGATCCGAAATTACATCAGTTTGACGTGCAATTTGGCGCATATTTTCACTCCCACATGCGAGCATCTCGGTCACTAATTGTGCTTCCCCAAAACCTTTTGAAGGAATAAGGGCTGTGTTTTTCAGTTGTTTATCCTGTTAAAAGGAAGTTGTTTGAGTAAACAAAATAGAATATTCAAATAATCCAAAACATACAGACGCTACAACGATCATAATAGCATTCTTCCTATTAACCACATTCGGGTGTCGCTGAAACATAAGGCTCGCCTGTTATGTATAGTTTGCATTGCGGGTGGGTTCTATATGTATGTAAATCTTAAAGAAATCGATAGAATGCATATTACAAAACACTCATATTTTTATAATTTTTCACCTAATTCTCAAGTGATAGCAATGCATGTCAGCAACCCGGATAAGTAGATTAATTATCAGTGTGTCAGTCACAGCTTCTTCCGTACCTTCATAATAGCCTAAATTCTTAACTTCGTGTAAATCGGTTAAGAATGCTTTGACTTGATTATCAGAAATTTCTTTAAGATTGTCAACATCAAACTCTCGGTCTCTAAGTGTTTGGATATCGATTTGGGGAAGAGTATATTTCTCAAAAGAGCTAGTAACTAAATAATATCTAAATTATTAGCATTACGTTCTCTAAAAAGAATGTTATACAGCATAGTTCATGCCTTTTATATCGCAAGCGAGGATGTCGCACTTGAGAGCTGGCTTAAAGCTCACTTTTAGCGCTCGCAAATCATTTTTATTGAAAGTAGAAGAAGTGGTGTTGAGAATGCCATAAAAACACTGTTCTTTAAGCTTGGTCATGACTATTTCTCGTGATTCCTTAAGGGCATCGTCAAATAATGTGGCAGTAGATGAGAAAAATACTGCTGGTCGAAGAGCACGTGAATTAGGGCGAGAAAACTTTGAAACGAGACTGAGAAAGGAAGACATTTTTATGAACTACAGACAAAAAATAGCATGCTTGCATATCTTATCAAAAGTCAAATCAGATGAATCCCTATAGTTGTTTAAGCACGTAATGCAATTGGTGAATGCGACCACTTGTTCTTCTGAGTAGTGATAGTTAAAAAACTGTTAACAAACAACTAATCATAATATTATATCAATTCCGTTTCTGTAGTGACTGAATTCACTTTTCATAATTTCAGACCAATTAGCGAAAAATTTTTACCTATTAACTGGTACCTTACTATATTAGCTCTGCACCAGATGGATATAAATCTGCTGAGTTAAAATCATCGATTCTATTTTCGGGCCATAATAAAGTAAAGCTAATTAGAAATCGAAAATGATCAGGATAAACTAAAAACGAGGAAGCAAAGCTTCGAGTCTCTGACTCATGCGATTTAATATCTTCATCAGCTGTATAATATTTTTCATTGGAACCT